CGCCTCAGCGACGACCACCTGGGAGCGCTCTTTGCCCTTCTCAGCGTCAGTGACCGGTGAGCCACGGCCCGGCCCCGCGGGCCTGACCGCCTCCTCTCTCCCTTTTCCCCGGAGCACGGTGGCTCCTGCTGCTACCCCGTCTCCTTCCCTGGTCTCCAGGGCGCGGGCTGGCACAGCTGAGGATCTGGGAGCACCCGGTGGCGTCCCCCTCCTGAAGGGCTTGGGTTTGTCTCTGTCCCGCCTAGGGAGCAGGTGTCTGCGTGTGTTTCCATCCTGGAGAGGCTCCTGCAGGCCCTGGACCCGGTCTATGTGATCCAGAACCTCAGAGAAGAGCTTCAGAAGGGGCTTTACCACCCCGACGACGCCGTGAAAATCCTCACCATATCTCAGGTACAGGGTTTTCTTCCAGGAGGAGAGGGCAGAGCTCTGTTTTGCGCAAGGCTGGGTTAGTCCTAATCTGTTAATGTTGTTTCACGTCCTAACTTGTGACAAAAGCACTACATCAAGTGTTATATGCAGGAATTGTGCTCTTACGCACTCATGCAGTTTTGGATAAATACTGTCTAAGGTGTTGGTATATAATGCTTTATGATGTGTATGTTAAACATAACGTATAAAACTATGTCTTGATAGAAGTAACTTGTAAATGAAACTTCTGTCCCATGTTCTGGATAAAACTTTCCAAGCCAGCAGTGACAGCAGGTGCCATGAGGATTAAGCGCAGCAGCATTTTGATATTCAGGACACTTAGAACAATGTTGTAGAAATACTGAAGAGGAATAGGCTGCAGTAACTTGACACTTTATGCATTAATTTAAAAGAACAGAATTGTGAAGCATTGTATTTTTGAATGGACTTCTAGAGGTTTCAGGACAAGCCCAAAGCTAAAAGCAGGCCAGCTTGCAGCAGGCTGCTTAGGGTATTGTCCCGTTGAGTTTTGAGTATCTCAAAAAATGCTGATTCTGTGTGTCTGGGTAGCTGTTCCAGTGCCTGAATGTCCTTATAGTGGAAAAAGTTTGGTTTAATGCTATTATCTGTAATTACTTAATCATGTCTTTAGGTTGGGAGGATTGTTGAAGATTCAGATGCTGTGACAGAAATTCTCAACAGTCCTGAACTATTACGGCAAATAATAAATTGCATTGGTGGAGAGAAAATAGCAGTGGCTAAAGAGGTAAGTGTTGCTTTCTTTTTTTCTTTCTCTACAAAGTGATGTAGGCACTGTACAAAACACCTTTTCTACTGTGTCTGAGATGCCAGCCTCTGCTCTTCTTTGCTCTTCTTTTTTCCTCAAAAAGAGAGCTTATGTTGCTTGAAAGATGTTACAAGCATGTAGGTGCCCTAAGCCCAGAAGTTAGTTAGATGTGATAGAAAATGTACTTAGAACTGTTATCTTCCTGTAGCTGTTTATGCCAAAGTGAACTTGTAGATCTGAATTTAATGTCAGATACTTGGATGACAGTAACCATAGCTAGCTGTTGTCAATGATATGGTAATTCTCATTGAAAAATGAATCACAATTAAAATTTTAGATGTGTGACATTATTTAATATGTTAGTAAAGAACAGTGAAACCAAGTCAGATTGTCTTGGATTTTCTTCTCTTTGTTTTTCTTTTAATATGTTGCTGTTTTTTGTTTCCAGGCCATCAAGTCTCTCTCAAGAATAGCACAGACGCAAGATGGATTAGAGGCTTTATTTGTGAGCAATTTGTTGAGTGACTTGAAAAATGTCATGGCAACAAATGATATTGTTCGATACAGAGTATATGAGGTAGGAATGCGATCAATGTTAGCATTTGAATGACATGATACTGTGTTTCTCTTGGACTGTAGTTCAGAATTACAATCTGGATTTTATGGCTTGCATTTAAATTAGTATTCATCACTGCTTTATGAACTTTTCTTCCTGTCTGTGTTTTGCCAAGATAAGACAGGAGCAGGAAGAGTACAGTAGTGTTGGTTTTCAAATAATGACATAAGTTCTCAGTTTATGGTACAAAGGCGTGAAGTACTGTTTACATCTTTTATTTTCTAGCTTGTTGTCCCTAGGGCATTGGAAGGGCTACACAAAGTTACTAAAGATACAATAAAATGGTTGTTTCTCTGAAAGTAAAAGTAAAATAGATGCTGCAGTCTCAACATTTGGATGTGAAGTCCTATTGAAACTTCTGGAGCAGGGAAGAGACTGAGAGATGCTGAGTGCGTCAGTCTAGATATGTATGGCAAAGGAGAAATAATACAAATTAGCCATGGTAGAGCTTAATGGGGGTAGCAGTGATGATCCTCTGAAGAAAAGATGACTGTGTATAGAAATCAAATGCATGCGCTATAAACTTGGAGCTCCTTATGAAATTGTTTCAAGCAAACATTTAGGTTAGTTATGAAACCATGAAAATATGTATTTAATATATATAGGGTTAGTCAGCATTATAAGATGTCTTTGGTCATCACTGTGAATTGTTAACGTTATAATATTTTATAAACCATCCTTTTTTTTTCCCCCTATGCTTTTATTTAGTTAATTGTTGAGATTTCTTCGGTGTCAGCAGATTCGCTAAATTACTGTGCAAACAGTGGATTAATATCAGAGTTAATTGGAGAGCTGACTGGAGATGATGTGCTGGTCAGGTATGTTGGCAGTGAGTTTGCTATTGAGGTTTCCTGCATTGTTACAGCTCTGAAGTTCAGTCTTAAAATAACAGTCCTTTAACACATTTGTGTGTGTTTCTCGTCAAACCCTTTTCACGGAAACACTTTATCTGCCTCATCTTAAACAGCCTTAAGTGTAAAATACTGTATACTTAAATTTGAGAACTAAGATGAAGTTTCCCCAGTATGCTGTGATAATTGTAATGCTGGACTGCAATGCCAACTATACGCCTAAAGTAAGATAGCTGGGTGAGCTTGGAGGGGTGTTGGACAGTTGGGGTAGTTTGGTTTTTGTTTTTCCATTTGTTTGGCTTTTGTCTTAAGGGTGGAAAACCTGTTTTTTCTTAATCACTGAGTACTTCGAAAACCCATCTGAAATAGGCTAAAATAACTTTGTCTGTTACAGAGCTACTTGTATAGAGATGGTGACCTCACTGGCCCACACTCCACATGGCCGTCAGTATCTTGCTCAACAAGGAATTATCGATAAAATTTCGAACATCATCGTTGGTGCAGAGTCTGATCCTTTCTCAGGCTTCTATTTACCAGGTTATATCATGTGTTTCTTGTTTCTAGTGTTTGCTTTTATTAATGAGTTAAATTGAGAGGACTATTAAGCCTTTGTTTTGAAACCTGGCTGCCCAGAGAGGTTGTGGAGTCTCCCACTCTGGAGACTTTCAAAACGTGCCTGAACGCGGTCCTGTGCAACCTGTTGTAGATGACCCTGCTCTGGCGGGGGGGTTGGACTAGGTGGTCTCCAGAGGTCCCTTCCAACCCTGACCATTCTGTGATTCTGTGAAACCTCCTGTGAATTTTTGAATACTAGAACGTGGATGTTGGATGTATAAAAAAAAATAAAATGCTGAAGGACAGTCTAATACATGAATAATAATACTCATTAACAGTGGCAGTACAGGTAAGATCTAGAGAGACTGTACTTCAGGTTTTAAATTTGTGTTATTATAGTCTTGTTATTTTTATGGATTAAAAGACAGCTGTTACTTCATGAATTAAGTAACTTCCGAAATACTGACTAGTTCCGTAGTTCTGTCCTCATTCTGATGCCTTTCACAAACAGTATTCAGATTTAATAACATTAATTTAGCAGTGAAACAACCTTATGTTAAGGTATGCTTAATTTTAACTTAGCTAAAGTTACTGTTCCTCCACTCTGAATGCTTTTTTTTTTTTTTTTTTTTTTTTTTCCCTCTTGTTCTCTCAGGATTTGTTAAATTTTTTGGAAATCTGGCTGTTGTAGACAGTCCACAGCAGATCTGTGAACGATACCCTGTCTTCATGGAAAAAGTCTTTGAAATGGCAGAAAGTCATGATCCAACCATGATTGGAGTAGCTGTGGACACACTAGGAATCCTGGGATCAAATGTGGAAGGCAAACAGGTTTTACAGAAAACTAGTTAGTATTGTTGGTTTCTTTCATTAATAAAACTTTTTCAGTATGTCATAATGTACAAGAGTGAATTGATTTGGCATAATAGAGAAAGGCATTGAAAAATGTATTTATTTGTCTAATAATCAAGGGTGTCTGAATAGCTGTGCCATAGCAGATAAGGAGTTTTTAACTGCCTTGCCAGGCATGGCAGTGTGAAATGGCTGGCAGCTAGAATCTTGGTATCACAAGCGTGATTCAAGTTATTCCTTTCCAGTGAGCTGCATCATACGAATCATCAGTAGTTGTGTTATTCTATATTCCTCTGCTTCTACTGACATCATGACTTTCTTACCAGGGTTAGAAAAACATGAACTGTCATGTAATGATGCTTTCTGTAATGACTGCGTCGTTGCTCTTAATTTAAAACTCTTTGGAGGATTCAAAGTAGGTGCTATGCTTCTTGCTGCTAGTCCAAACTTCTTTTTTAAGTGAAAAATTTGTATTAGCAGGTAGCTATTGGAGCATTGTAGAATGGGTTTGAAGATTTCTAATAATAAGTGTACTAGGGTCCATGCTTCCCAAGGTAACTCAGTTATCGGTGACATATAACTTCCTTTTTGGAAATGTTTGGGAAGTCTGGAAAATTAGCTTTGGTGTTGTCTATCTTAGTTCCATATGAAGCCAAGAGAATCTTGCCCTTTTATTATAGTAGATCAAGAAGTTGCCTTTCTGAGGTTTAATGTACAATACGCTTTCTACCAGTTAATGTAGTATAATGTGACTGATGGGTAACTCTGTATTCCTGTAGAGGTTTGTCTGAATTAAAAGCACTTTTTTTGTTTGTTTTCAAAGGAAGTAGATTTCAAAATCTGTTAAACAGAATAGGGCACCAGGCAAAGAATGCCCCCACGGAGTTACGACTTCGGTGCTTGGATGCAATTTCATCTCTTCTTTACTTGCCTGTAAGTTTGTGGTTTTGTTTGTCATCTCTCTTTTTTTTTTCTTTATTTTTTTTAAATCTACAAGAATGAAATTATTGTGCATCTGACTAATTGCATGAAGACCTTTTGCAGCATGTAGCCTAAGTAGAAGTGGTAGCTTTCTAGTATTCAGAGTCATTAACTTTACTGTTTTGAAATTCCCTGATTTATTTGCTTGCTTAAAGTTTGAGTTTGTAAGAAGCCAGGTGTTCTGAAATCTGTTTATAAAACATGAAGTCAAGACATCATTGGCAAGGGAATGAGAGTAAACAATGTAGTATTCTTGTGCTTTAAAGAAATAGTGGCAAACTGCTTTAATCCCTGTGTGTGTTCTTTAGATCCAGTGGTCTGGTTTTAATAGTGTAGCTCTAAATGAGCGTGTAAGCCATTTTCATTGGTCTCGCAGGGCTGCACTCCAGCACAGCACTTACCTCATGTATCAAAATCAATTTATTTAAATATGTCCTCCAACCTAAACAAAATATAGAAGGCCACTTCTTCATTCATGAAAATAAGTTGAAAATTTAAACTATTTTGGTTGACTCTGCTGGTGGTCTGTTTTAAATAAATTCCCTAACTATTGAACATATACTCAAAAATTGAAAGCTTTGCGTAATCCTAATCAAACTCTTTCATTTCTGCACGTTTCTCTGATGTGTATAGCCAGAGCAGCAGACAGAAGACCTTTTAAGAATGACTGAATCATGGTTCGCATCCTTGTCTAGCCAGCCGTTGGAGCTCTTCAGGAGCATCAGTACTCAGCCATTCCCCGATCTCCACTGTGGGGCTCTACGGGTGTTTACTGTAAGTGCTTTTTGTTTTTAAAGATCAGATAGTGAGTTGTATTGCCATTTGGTTTCAGATTTTTTTTTTAAGTGAGTGCCATAGACTTCTTGTTGAAGCCGTGAAGTGGTCAGAAGTAAGACCTTTTTCACTGTGCCCGACTTGCATTTACCATTTAAATAATTCAGCAGACATGTCGGGTCTGTAATGCTTATTTTCTTATAAATTAAAGGGCGGGGGGGGGAAGTGCAACAGTTATGCTTAGGGTGCTGCTTCGATGTCAGAAGCACTGCTGTGATAATTCACTTAAAACTTTAAAGATAAGCACTGAGCTGTACTTGTTTTCCAGCGTTAAACACTGCTGCTTGATTTGAGTGGTGCTTGTGTAACTACTGTGTAGAATGAATATCCCATTTAATTTTTTCTGTTCCTTGGCTATTTGCGTAACAGCCTACTGTATAACTGTTTTTTGTTTTTTTAAAATGAGGTGTTTCCCCCTCTCCCCTCTTTTGTCTTCAAATTCAGGCTATTGCAAATCAACCGTGGGCCCAGAAGTTGATGCTTGACACTCCAGGGTTTGTGGAGTACATTGTAGACAGATCTGTGGAGCCTGACAAATCTTCAAAGGATGCCAAATATGAACTTGTTAAGGCCCTTGTAAACTCTAAAACAATTGCGGAGATCTTTGGAAATCAGTATTACTTGAGGCTTAGGGCTTATTTGCGTGAAGGCCCTTATTATGTTAAGGCAGTTTCTACTACAGCCGTGGAAGGAGCAGAGTAATGTCATTGATGTCTTGGTACCCCTTCTTGCAAACCATGTTACTGAAATAGGTGTTAAGATATAAGGTGTAAAGACTCTCCACGCTGGAGTCTCTTTAGATTGTCTCTTTAAAGGAATGCGAAGCACTTCGACTCTATTTGAAATGAGGGTCATGAGAGCAAATCAAAATCTACGGGGCATAGCGTAATTTCCCATAGAATGTCATGGCAGAAGTTCTCAGTGTACTGTCGTGAGACAAGTAACCAAGGTAAGCACACTATCAACTTCTGATTGTTTTATTTTGCAGAAATTAATCAGTGTTTAGTTAAACTGTTCTTGGGCTTGGAGTTCTTGTCCTGTTTTCTCAGTAGATCACAGTTACAATTAAAAAAACAAACACCAAAACGCCTAGAGGTTTGTAACCTCAGATGCTGCCATAGTTTCTCTCTTATTTGTTTTGTATCTGCCAAACTTGGCACTCGCATGGAAGTACTCTTTTAGCCAGTCCTGTTCTGTCAGAAACCCTGTTGGTAAGAATGAGCTAGTAACATTCTGTCCACACGAGGGAGTATGAACTGGATTCTCTTCTATTTTCAACTCGCTGGATGTGAATCTTGCTTGAATAAATAATCCTAAATATTGTTTACATTTTACACTGAGGATGAAGAAAAGCTTTTAGCCCTTTTAGAAACAACTAAATGCACGCTCTAGTGTGTAAAAACCAAATTGGGAGCTTTGTCTCCCTTGTTGACTGCGACTTTGTATGAGAGCTCAGTTTATTTGCTCAAAAGGAGCACGAGCTATAGCACTACAAGTCTACTTCAGAACCAAATCTTAAATTGTTTACACTATTTTTTAACAGATACTTTTTTTTAAGTGTTATTTTAAAAAAAAAAAGGTATGATTTTAGTTGCCTGAGTTAAAATAAAAGGAGTAAGAACATAAAGCTTTCAGGTTTCAGAGCATGAACTGAATTAGGAGTATGGAAATGTCGTACTTCAGAGTTGTAATCTTTTGAAGCTGGTCAGATAGCTGCGGATGAGATGCAGGGCTAGTTGGATGCTGGAGTGACACATGATGCCTTTGTCCATAAACAGAGACCACAATGTACTTTATACAAAAAGTTTATATTATTTTTGTTGAGGATGTAAGAAACAAGTCTGAGGAATAGCTGGGGGAGCATCATAAAACATGGAATTACTACTTGTGGGCTTATTTTAGTAGTGTCTCAGGTCAGGTACACCTCTGTGGAGAGCACTTGCCCTGTGTCCCCGCTCTGCCAAGTGGAGCAGGATGATCCAGGCGTGCATTAACTCTCTTGTTGCTTGTAGCTTTGAGCTGCGGCAGAGGTGATGGTATTGTCTGCCAAAAATTGCTGGCAAGGAGTCAAAGCGGGCTCAGAAAAGCCGGGTAGTTGGGGAAGATCCCTTAATGTTTAATAAGTTGTCTGAAAGCAGGTGATCTGCCTTGTTGCTTATGATCTAATATGTACAAAAGTTGTCGTCCAACATTATACTGCTGCTGACGCTTTCAGCCTAGATGTGCATAATAAACATCTGCTAGTGAGAAACACAGTACACAGTGTCTCATTTGTGAACAGAGAGAGCACAGAACCTTCATGAATCCTGCGTCCAGAAAAAACATGAAAGCGCTAAAACGGAAATGAAAAGAGTATAGAAGTCCTTAGTTCGCACTCATATTGGACAGTTCAGCTTTGTTAATTTAGGTGGCTTTGTGTGCTGGTAGCTCTGTATGAGCCATATAGTAAAATCTCAGTAAAAGAAATCAATATATAAACCTTTTCTGCAATTCATGAGTCTCTTCCATGTGTGTTTTCAGCTGTTGCTTTTGAAGGCCACTCTTTGTGCTAAGTCTTTAGCATCTGCTTTGCATGGTACATTTGCCAAATACAATATTTTAGAATACACAGATGCCAAACAAGGGGATTTTTTATATATGCACATATGCTTTATTTTGTTGAGCTTTGAGCTCAACATTGTGATTAATTGATCAGATGCTTACCCGTTATTACTCGCATGTAGTTCTCTACCCATCCTGTCTGTTGCCGTGTGGTTTACGTGTTGCTGCTGGTGTATGTGATATACAACAGAAAAACTTAAGTGTGTTGTCCCTGTCCTCTCCGCTGTAAAGTAACAGGTGGAGATAACTGAGGAAAAAACAGAAATGGAATGATGGAGAATGAGAATTGAGGTAACATGCTAAACTTGATGAACTTGGTTTAAAAAACAGAAACAAAAATCTCCCCAAAAAACCTCCCCAAACCAAACCTCATCATATGACCCTGGTTAACAAGCAGCATAACTCGGTGCTTAAGAACTGTGGATCCTTTGGCGCGCTCCTCCGATTCCTTCCGTCACAGCGGGGAAGAGTAGCTGGGGCCCTGGAAGGTGCCCGCGTGTCTCTTCCCCTGTGTGTCTGTCACAGCTGTAGAACCAATCTGTCCAGCTTGTCCTCCCGCTGCTTAAAGAGCCGATGTGGTGGAGTTGATCTGGAGGGTGTGGGCACGGGTGGGGTTGTGTTCTGTGGCTGGTTCCTAATTTGGGGTATTTTTACGCTTTGAATAAGGTTGATGTTACCAGTATGCCAGTGGATTTGTTCTGACTTCACTGCTGATGCTGTTCTCCAGCTCGTTATGTCATTGAACTGCTTGTGTCAGTGTTTCTCTGATACCATGATTGACAGAAATACAGGATTCTTTAACGGGTGAGTTAGATTTCTTGCCTAGAATCTCCCCCGGCTGTTCACCTGAGCAATTCCCATGTTGGTTCAATGTCTATTCCTGCCCTGAGCTGTTCTGTGGTCTCACTGGCGCTGTCAAACAGCTCTGAAGTAGCTCCCTTTTGTGGCTGGAAAGATTCCCCTTTGTTACAAAATACTTTGGAAGTAGGTGATGCCACACTCTGACGAAATCATAGAATGAGTTTTGGCATAAGGTAGAGGACTTCAGAACTGTGGAAAACACTGGATACAGACAAAGTTTCTTGGAGTACTCTTTTTTTTTTTTTCACTTGTATGCAGGTACTTGTAGGCAGTTACGTAGCTAGAGTACATCCAGTTCTCTTGCTGCTGTAACGCTGTAGCATTGAGAATTCATTTGCTGTTGAGGAGAGCAAGCTTTGAGAGGAGATTGTCATTACCAAATGTTAACAGGATAAAACAGCCGGTAAAAGAAAATTCCGACTTCACAAAAGTTAAAGCTTAATCGGCAAAATGAAGAACTTCATTTTTAATTCTATCTAGGTTAAACTGTTTAAACTTATCAATATAGGTCAAAACTTTGCAGGACACCAGACCGTAGTAAGTTTCCAGTAATGAGCAATCTTTACCATCGCTTGTTTCCTTCCAGTCTTTAAATAACTCGTCCTCTTTCATGTTGGAAGAGGTGAAAATGAATTTATAGCAGCATCGATTGTAGCTGATGTGCTTTCCCCCAGAAAATCGAGAGCTGTGAATGGGAGTGATGCCAGCTTTTTTAGCACAGATGCCAACAAAGATATCGGGGGGCACTGCAACTGGCACCTCCTTGGCGGCCACGTACACCTTGCGAGCGACGTCCTGGGACATGACGAAAGCGCTCCCTTCGCAGTAATCTGGGTGAAACTCCTCCGAGTATTGATGGATGGGAACAAAGCCAGGGCTTTTGGGGTCTCTGCCGGGCACGCCTTGGTGAACAACCCTCCCAGTGTAGATGTCCTCTAGCTGTGTTAAGCTAAGCAAGTATCCAGCCAGGCTTGGAATACTGACAAACACATCTTCATCTGTTTTAAGAATATACCTTGCCTGGGGACAGAAAGTCACTGTCCACTCCACGGTCATCAACATCTTCTGTGTCTGCGTCTGGGGGGAATCAATGAAACTGCCTTCAATAATGTCTCTGTGCTTTTGAGACTCTTCATTGATCTCCAGCTGGGTGGTTAGTGACGCCGGCTTTCCTAAAGCAAACAGAGTGAGGACAGCATAACCCCTGGCGTCTGTCACATTGCCCCATGTCTGCCTGATCGCATTGCGCCTTGTCCTGTTTTCTGGGCTGCTGCAGACAAGAACAAGTAAAAATATCTCTTGATCAGAGCATGTTGCTGCACTGCTGACAGTGTAAGAGAGGTTGGCCTTTAGAGGGTCTATATCTAGCTTCCTGGCCCTCTCCCTGATTCCCAGAGTCTTTGCATCGGTGTAAGAAAGAGGTAAGGACCGCAGGAAGTATTCCTCCAGTAAATCGGCTCCAAAAAGCAGCACATGGAAAAGCAAGACATTAAAGAGGATGAAGCACCACTGGTGAGTCCGGAGCCTGCAGGGCGTCAGCTGGAGAAGAGAAGATGTGGACAGTGAATTCTTTTGCTACTGGAACAGAAAGGTTTTCCCTCATTTTATAATATATTCATGGGAAACAATCATGACTTTTAGACCATGGTCTTTGTATTACTAGTGGAAGTCTCTTTTCCTCCTGGAAACTGAAGCAACCCTACTCCTCATGGCACAGCGAGATCCCAAGCTGAGAAGGACGTTACCGTGCTGTAGTTTAGAAGGCTCCTTTCCATGCATGGAAATACTGAGGAATAACTCACTATTAGTATTTTCTCACTGTTTTTAAGCTGTTACAGAAGGCCTGAGATGCTCACGAGGACCTGTAATATCTGTCCTCAAAGGAGAGTCTTTGGTGCTTGGCCTGACAATGCCGTGTGAGAGCTGACAGGGTCAGAAGCCAAAGGGCAAGCTGTCACCCAGCCTCGCACTACCCTCCGTGCCGCACCTGAGCGAGGAACCGCAGCGCTTACCTGCATGGCGGTGGGAGTTCTCCCTGCTGGAGGGTCTGCGTTAACGTCGGAGGTGTTTTCTCTTGGGCAGAGGCTTACGGGGCCGCATCTGTATCTGGGTCTGCTGGATCCAGTTACTGCCCAGTACGCAGAGATGATGGCATTCTCCTCACCTGCATGCGGCGAGGAAAGATGATCCCGGGGGTGATCGTGTTGCAGCTGCAAAAAACACAAAGCAAACAAAACTCA